GTTATCCTGTATCGGGCACTCCTGACTTCCCCCTTGGGGAAACATCTTCAGGATCTGTATGACCTTAGGCCCTAGATTAGTGGGCTTCAAACTGGGCATGGATATGACTGTGAGTCCATGAAAATTTTCTGTATCTGAAAATATAGAAAATACTGGGTCCCGCCCACACTCAAGATTTCCTCAGGCTGCCATAACAGAGTACCACCCACAGGGTGGCTTTAAACGGAAATTTATTGTCTCCAAGTTCTGGAGATTAGAAGCCCAAATCAACATGTTGGCTGGACCATGCTCCCTGTGAAGGCTCTGTGGGAAGACCCTTGTTTCTCCCAGCTTCTGGTGGCCCCACATGTTCCCTAGCTTAGAGATGCATTTTCTCATGGCCGTCTTTCCTCTGTCTATGTCTCTGTGTTTCTTCTCTCTTATAAGGGGTCCACTCAGATTGGATTAAGACTCTACTCCAGTATGACCTTATGTTAATTTAACTGATGACCATCAAAGACACTATTTCCAAGCTAGATCAAGTTCACAGGTACCAGGGGTTAGGACTTCACCATATCTTTTTAGGGGACACAATTCAATCCATAACAGGTATCCGGAGTATTCTCTCTAAAAAAGCCATTCCCATTTCTTCTTGAAAGTTCAGAGAATTGAGTGACATTGCTATAACAGAGCTCCTTTCTTTTCCATCTACTTAGGTTATTTATAAAAATGAAAAAAGGAATAGAATTGATGCTGAATTCTCATTCTAAAAATAAGTGATATGCATCCACAGATACATAAAATAATTGATTAAAAAAACCCATTTGATTAAGAGATACGTTTTCTATAAAGTTTTACTTTATGCTAAAATGTGTGTAATATATCATTTTGATTAATTGTGAACTAATAATAAATGTAATAATTCAGTCCGGAATAAACATTTAAAACCTTACGATCACAGAACATTTAAAAACTTCCATTTCATTTTATACACATATTTTGTTCAAGCATAAAAACATAAACTACATTAGTATAAAGTTATGTGAGAGAACTGAAGAAAAAGGAATGATATGAAATCTCCAAAAAGAACTTGTTCATATATTTTTAAATGGATGATAGGGAGGAGGGCTCAGATAGCACTTAGAATTCTACTGGATTTGATTAAAGGAATAAGGTAAAAATTTTAATTTAAAATGTTAATATTCCCAGTATGATGGAAATGACATCCTTTGCAACTTTTAGAAGTTCTGATGGAAATTTTTAGATATCAGTTTAAAATGGGGAGGGGATGCATAATATAATTTTTAAAAACTTTTAGGGTTTAGAGACCATTTCCCTAGATCCCTTTGCAGAGTCTCCTTGTTCTATGTGGTTGGCCATGCCCTGGCCTCATATTTTTAAAGAGTTGCATGGTTGTTCCATGTTACATTTGCTCCGGCCTCCATGTGGTTCCCATTGGCCAGCATATTCACGAATGAGGATTAGAGTCTAAAGATCATGTCAAAGCTTCCTCATCCTGTATAATTGCACAGTTTTGGTGCCCCACGTCTTCAATATACAAAGTTAACCATGACGAATGATGACTTTTGGCAAGAGGTTCTGGACTCCGCCTGTCTTCTGGGTTCTATCACCCTTCATCACGTTCCATAAATTCACCCTTCTCCATTTCTTATGCTTTTTCCCCATTATCCTCAGATTCTCCCTCACTTTTTGCTTTCTCCCATCAGCGTAATAACATATGCATTTCCTTAATCCAAAAATATCACTCATCCCTCAATCTTTCCCATCAAACTATTGCCCCAACTGCCCCCTTTCTCTTCATAATCCAATATCCTATAGTCTCTATTCTGTCTTCCACTCAATTTTTCATTCATATTTTAATTTTTAAAATGTTCATGAGTTCATGTACACAAGCAATACATGAAAATATTAACATTGTAAACATCAAATATTCTAAAGAGAGTCAAAAGTTAAAGCATTCCTTCATTCAACACTGTTCTCAACCTTTCCAGTGCTGTTTTCCATATATAATAATATGGACTCGTTCTTTCAGAATGATGTATGGGAAAAAGGAACATGCCATGTAACATAAAACTATGTATGTAACATACGCACATAAATACCTAGATAAAAGTCTGGAAGGTATTTACACGCATATATATTAACAAACAGTTTTATGTTGCATGGCATGTTCCTTTTTCCCATACATCGTTCTTTTTGACCACTGCATGGTATTCTGTAGAAAGAATATAACATAATTTCCTATTAGTGGATTTGCAGATTACTTCTAATTTTCTTCCCTGTTGATGGACTTTTAGGTTATTTCTATCTTTTCCATTTTAACAACAGTATCGTAATGATCATCTTTTTATGTACATCTTTGCTCACCTGCAAGTTCACTGGAAGAGAGTAGGGAGGAAGGAGTTAAAGCAGGTGGCCTTGGAGTCTGGGGAAAGAAAGAAGACAGGTGACACATCTAAACGTGTTGGAACTGGACCTCCTGGTGAATAGACTGATAATATTTGTTAGAAGAACTGTTACCTATGGAATGCTTTTAGCAGGATGTGGTTGGGTTAGGGTGGCCACATAAACCAAGAATTTATTGATTTCGCTCTCAGGGAGAAAGTCACATAAGCTGTACAAATATCTGGGGCATAAAATTGTGGTTTCCTCATCTAAACCAGTAAAACCAGTTGCCATCAAGTTGATTCTGACTCGCAGTGACCCTATATGTGTCAGAGTAGAACTATGCTCCATAGAGTTTTCAATAGCTAATTTTTTCAGAAATAGATCACCAAGGCTTTCTTCCGAGGTATCTCTGTGTGGACTCGAACTTCCTAACCTTTCAGCTGGCAGCCCAGTATGTTAACCAATTGCACCATGCAGGGATGCCTCCTCACCTAAAGGCTCCCACAAGCCTCATTTGAAATCTGCATCTCTGGGCCAATGCAGGAATGAAAAATCTGGGAGCCAGGCAGAATGTCGCAGACCTCTCCCTGCTCTGCCTGTGACTCTTGATTGCTTGTATCCTTGAGATTGCGAGTAAAGCTTGACATGGGTAAAATCTTTCATGCTTGGGATCTGATATGACAATATGATCTTGTGTTAGCAGAGATTCCTGCAAGTTGCCATTTAAAAAGGTATCAGTTTATATTCTCACCGGGAGTACATGGGAGTTTGTTTCTGCAAGCCCTCAGCAACATTTGCTATAGTTTCAACAATCTGAGGGCCATTGTCATTTAAATTTGTATTTTTCTGTTTATTTGCATTATGTGATTTTTACAAGTTTATTGACTCTTTGTATTTGTGTTTGTAGGAATTTCCTACTAATATTATCTCCTCCCCTTTTTGGTTGAATTTTCTTTTTATTATTAATTTGAGAAACATCATATGTGGATTCTGGAGGATCCGGATTCTAATCCAGAACTGCCACTTGCTAAGTGTGTGCCTTCAGAAAATTTACCCTAGCTTCAATTTCCACATCCAACGCCTGTTTCATAAGGTCATGTGAAGATTAAGTGAGATAATCCACGTATAACACCAACAATAATGCCTAGTACATAGTAAGTGTCCAAAAAATGATAGCCATTAACAGGAGCTGTCTCTATATTTTGCATATTAATGTTTTGATTATTAAATATGATGTGAATATTTTCTCCCAGTCTTTTGCTTGTGCTTTAACTTTGTTTACAGACATTTTATCATGCAGGATTTTACATAATCAAATCTGTCATTCTTTTCCTCCAAGGCTTTTGCTGTAGCCTGATATTTCATCTGAAGCATTTTACTGAATTGGCCTCTCCAAATTTCAGTTCACATTCCCTTTAACCTGCCTGATGATTTTGTGATCAGAATCTTAAGATTCTTCTTTGATCTCACCAGACATTGATGTCGCTCTTATTTCTCTTTCCCGGATGATAATCATTAGCCACTCCTTTTTTACATTTTCCCTGGATAACAGTGTTCCCTTTGTTCTTGCTTCTCTTCCCACGTCACACTCCCTTGATGATTGTATTCACTCTGATGGTTTCAACGTATCTTGTCCGGCCCATGCAGATGACTCAGAAATCTCCAGAGGATTTTCTACTGTTCATGAGCTACTTCTAATTAATGTCCAACAATCACCTTAAACTAAATTCCTTCTAAAACTGGACTTTATATACACTCTGTATATAATGAGATGGAATGGTCTCTAAGGGATACTTTTAAAAAAAAATTTTAACTTACAACAAACAGTATGCATGGAATACTTTTGTATGAACAAAAGAATATAAATACGCCTGTGTTTGTATATGTACAGAATCTCTCTGGCAAGATACACAGACAAAAACTGATAAGAAGTGGTTGTCTTTTGGGTGAGAAACCAGCTGGGTAAAAGGGAAGATGACTTGCTTTTCACGTTAACTTCTTTGTGCCTTTTTAAATCTTGTACCATGATATATAATAGCTATTCAAAAATAAATACAAGTCTATAAATAAATAAACCAACCAGTTGCCAGTGAGTTGACTCTGACTCATGGCAGCCCCATGTGTGTCAGAGTAGAACTGTGGTCTGTAGGGTTTTCAATGACTGATTTTTCAGAAGTAGATTGCCAGGCCTTTCTTCCAAGGCACCTCTGGGTGAACTCAAATCTATAACGTTTCAGTTAGTAACCAAGTGTTTGCACCACCCAGGGACTCTATATAAGTAAAAGGGAACCTCTAATTAGTCCCCTCAAACCCATTCCCTGTTTTGGCTGGCGATGTCACTTTCCACTCGGTCTCTGGCTAAACACTTTGGAATCATCCTCCATCTCCTCAAATGCACATCCAGTTATCATACTCTGTTTAAATGCCTAGAAATGGATATTTCATCTGCCTAGTCATTCACCAGTGGCCCCAGAACACACAGTAAGCTAGAAATAAAAAGATAAATGAGATGCTGTCAGTACTACCCCCAAGAAGCCCATGGGCGACTGATGCAAAGCAGGTGCATGGCACATTTAAATTGTATTTCTAAATAATAGATTCCTTAAGCCATTTATAAGTATTTATTTGGGTAAAAGGTCATAAAATATATTTTTATAATACATATAAGAAAAAACACATTTGAATAGATAAAAAATGACAGGAGTTGACAGAATTTAGTGTTTATAAATGAGGTCATCAATAACTCAACAAGTCAGAAAAGAAAATTAAAAGTGTATATAAAGTTGAGACCATGCTTTCTGATATTTTATATAAAAAGAAAGATATTAGGCTTTTAAAGGTAATATATGACTTAATTGCTTTTCAAATGATTTCAAATAGGTTTCTAGACATGGTCATGCATGAACAAAACAAAAAAAAGAGACAAGAACTTTGGCAAGCAAAGTATTAGTTTCATAGCAGCTTGGTAGAAGTTTACTTTTTTACATATAAAGACTCTTCAATTTACATTCGTTCTTGTTACAAGAGCAGAAAGAACCAACACGCCAAATATATTTGAGGGCTCTGTAAGCTATATAGCAAAAAGTTATTTAAAAAAGCCTGAACTTGATGAAAATGTGTATCACACTGCATATATAGTAACTGAGTATATGTAAACTATGTGATTATTTATTAACTCTTTTTTATAAAATATTTAACTCCAAATCTCACTCAATATCCCCTATGTCTATATCTTTTTTGAAAGCAGCTTCAAGCTTTAAACTAATGCACATTTGCTATTTGAAAAAGTTCTCACCTCCGTTAGTAAAATGTTTGTGTAAAGTCTCTTAACACTCTAGTAACAAGACATCATGATCGGTAAATGATCATAACCTTCAGAAAAAAAAGAGTACAGAGGCTAAAGAAGTGATCACAAAAGTCTAAGGTTTCAGTCTCCGACTCTGGAAGATCATTCTATTTCAGGACCCACAGTTCCAAGAAGACAACTCAAAACTTCTTACTTTGAAAAAAAAAAAATTTTGTTTGTCATGAATAACTGACTAACTAAATTTCTAGGAAAGTGAGGCTTTTAAATTAAGATTCAGCAAAATCAACTAAAATGAATTTTCTTGTAATCATTTATGAGTGACAGAAAAGGTTGAAGGTTTACACAGAAAATATATAAATACTGCATAATATGTAGTGAATATTGGCACGTACCCTTCTGTATTTAAAGCATAGAATGCAATCAGGAAATCTGATGTTCTTAAGTGTGTTTTCTTAAGATACATTTATGACATAGCACAAAAAAAGGAAATGTCCCATAGTTTACAGCCTTCCAATAGGTTTGTAGCAAGCGTCAGGTTGCCAGAGGCGAATATCAACAATAACTTGATTGAGTTTTTGCATCCAGAGATCCCGCTCTTCTTTAGTATCTGCAGACAGCCAGTTCCTACAAAGAAAAAGAAAAAAAAAAAAAGGTCAGGATTCTTTTCCTCCATTCCATACCTCTGTGCACTCTTGCTAAGACAAAAAAAAAAATTAAGCCTGAACAAACCAGTACCATTTTTTAATGGATGCTAATGAAGAGCTGGCTAGTGAGGTGCTTCTCCCAGTACAATAAGGTAAAATTATCCCCACTGGTGGGTCAGCTGAATCATAACTCACACTAATTACATTTGATAAGTGGTGGACTTTCCATGCTGAAGACAGTAACTATTTTGTACCGGTGGTCTGGCCTGGGTAGTGTGATGGTGTGAGACACACACTGAGCATAGGCAATTTCCTAGTAAGAGCACCACAGGCCTGAAGCTGGAATCCCCCAATATCCTTCAGACTCAGGCTCCCCAAGAGCTGGAATCACAGGTGCATGGATGTCACCTGATTTTACAGGTAATACTATTTTTACTGCTTCCCATTATTTTTGTCCTATGTTCCTCTCCTCCCTCCTTCACCCTCATCTGTGTTAGGAATCTCTTCTTTGTATGCATATTTAGCTGCAAGTTGAATAACTAATTGCTTGAGCAGGTAGGGGTGGGAGAAGAGAGACAATTTGTTAATTCCAAACCTGCACTATTCTTCTAGAGAACAACTAGCTGTTAAAAAGTTTTTATATTGTACTCATTCTGCATATTTTATAATTTCTTCCCATTGGCAGAATTAGAAATGGTATAGGTATGAATAAGCCGGTGAGTTTATTATCTCCTATTACTCAATAGATAAACAGAGAAGTAAAGAGAACACAACACCCACAATAATAATAGCGACCATCTGTTGAGCTTATTCCATGTGCTAGACACTGTGCTAAGTGCTTTACGCTCATTAGCTTATTAATCTTGATTATCACTCTGTGGAGTTTATTTTTCCCTTTTGATACAGGAGAATTCAGAGGGCCAGAAAAGTTAATCAATTTGCCATGGTTACATTTCATAAGTCACTGAACTGGGATTTTAAACCTAGGTCTGTTGACTGCAAAGCCCCACTATATAACACTGCCTCCCCGTGAGATGAAGCGTTTCCAGTTCAAATGTATAGTCTAATATTTTGAAGTAGGCAGGATTGATCAGAAGAGAAATCTTTTTGTTGAAGGAGAGAAAGATAGCAAGATTAGTCAGTAGAAATAAATATGAGATACATTAATTTTAGATAAAGGTATAGGTCAAAAAGCCCTGTGGAGAAACAGATAAAATAAAACTAAAGAGAATGCAGAACTGAGCAATGTTTATTCTTACGGTCAAAGAAGTAAAATAAGTTTTAAGCCACCAAGCAAAGCTGAAGACTTAGTGAGGACTGAACTGAGTATGCGCCATTCTCAAATGCTTGGGCAAAGAAGCCCCCACCCAAATCATGGCAATATTATAAAGAGAAAAATTACATGCAGAGTAATTAGACGCAGAGCAATATGTGATGTAGCTACTCCTACTGCAGAATAATGTTTAAGGAGAAGTCTGAGAGGGGGTTTATGCAGCAGGTAAAAGAGAAAGTCATATGAAAAATCTGAGTAACGTTCCAAAGGGCTAATATGGGTCACTGTGGTCAGGAACTTCTTGGGTACCCCACTTCGGCTGGTTCTCTTGCCGATTGCGCCCATGGGCAGGGTAGATAAGAAACAAAATAATTGTAAATCCATTTTTCCTCTCCTGTCTGTCTGATGCCACTGATATATAAAAAGCCCCAGAAGAAAATGAGTAGATGAGTTAAAATTAATTAATCTGGAAGTAACCTAGACATCAAGAATTTCTAAAGAATGTGTTCCTGAATGCTATCTAGCTATTTTAAAACAAGTTGGCAGTATCTGGGCGACTTTGTTCTATTTTAGAATAGTGTCCCTTGGCTGTAGCTTTCTATTATTTCCACATCAGAAACTGATGGAGCCAGTTCCACCCACCTCCCTGAATGAAATACCCAGAAACAGCCTAATTAATAAGGACTTTAACAAATTCCAACTTTTGTCCGTAATCACAATTTTCTACACTGGAGTTGGTTTTCAAGCTTCTCTTGGACATTCCAACAAAAGAACTTATCTTACACTCTTAACAATATGTGTTTGCATATCAAATTCTACTATACTTAAGCTCAGGGTTAACAAAAGTGACATTCCCAGTAGTTTATTCTGTCTCATATAGCCTTAATCTCTAAACAGAAATTTGCAGAGAAGATGGGATTGTTTTTGTAGATCACCTGATTAATTGAGAACATTTCTGGAATGGAAGAATGTGAAATTAAAGAGATTAAAGTCTCTTTGAATAATGCCTGACTTCTTAACTGCGCATGAAATTATCAAATTTAACCTAAAGTCCATTAGCTAACTGCTTTGAAAATGCCGACAGCTTGAGTATTAGAAAACATGATTAGTTAATAAATAATCTGAACATTATACTTTTTTTTAAACTATATTTAGTTATTGTTCTGTTATTGATGTGTATGTTGTTTCCTAACTAACACTGCACCCTCTTCAAAGACAAGGACCATCGCTGATATTTCTTACAGGGTTAAGAACAGTGAACAATCAATCATTTAGTTGTAGAAATATTTACAGCTCAATACTTACTTGGTGACACAGAGTGTATCTCTACATTGACTGACAAGAGTCTCTCGGTCATCTTCTCTTTGTGGTCGGACAGTAATTAACTCAAAAGTGTTGCGTCTTGCACAAAATTCTCTGTTGACTGGTTCTATCTGATGACTGGTACAATTGGCCAAATTTATCCTTCCTATTGGGCTCTTTAAAAACAAATTTTAAAAATTTAATAGAAAATAAGTAAGACTATTTAAGTCATAAGCATTAAGCAAAATTTAAGTTGGTACAAAATTAAAAAGACAAAAATTTTAAAATTTATCTCTGTTATGGGGTATTTAATTTTTCATTCTGCTTATTTTTATTTACCAGTTTTTGAATAATAAATGACCTTACTTGGGCAATAATTCTTCAAAAATTCTTTTAAAAATAAAATAATTCTTTAAAAATAGGATACAATTAATCCTATTACCTACACAAAATCCTATTACCAAATTTTAGAAACAAAACCACTATATTCTTGTGGGTAGTTTTCCTGTATTGTTTTATCCCAGATTTAGGTAAATCAACTATCTAATAAAGTATAAAATTGAATTTAACATATTTATAATTAAAAATGATTTAAAAAAGATTACAGAACATTCCAGGAGAAAAACAGGATAAATATATGCCTTACGGTATTTTAACAACAGTGAAATCACAGGGAATGGCTGCTGTTGTTAGGTGCCATAGATTCGATTTTCGACTCATAGTAACCCATGGCAGTTTGAATTGCCTCATAGGGTGTTCTAGGCTGTAATCTTTACAGGAGCAGATTGCCAGGTCTTTTCTCCCTCGGAGAGGCTGGGTGGGTTCAACTCACCAACCTTTTGGTCAGTGGCTGAGCACTTAACCGTTGCACCACCAGGGAATGATTAGGACATAAAATTTGATACAAATATACAACACACATACACACACACATACATACACACGACTGGTCTCACAACAAAAATTTTAAGGCTTTGTAAGTATACTCAAAGTGAAAACTTGGGTGAGTGGGGGAACACTTACATGAAATACTGCGTGAAAGTTAACCAGGGCTGCCACCATTGACCAGTCCTGTTAAAATTACCTTTCGTTTCTCATCATCTGGATATGTCCAATAAGAGATACAGTTTCCAGAAAGAACACACCATCGTCGATGCCAGGCACCAAAACCACTAACATCTTCAAATATGGTCTGGAAAAGTTAATGAAACACTGGCTTTAGGAACTTGAAGAGCATGTCTTAACAATGAAATGCTCAAGTTGACATATTTCATACCTTAAAATCTAATCGCATGATTTTTATCATGTATTTTACCACAGTAATGATAAATCATTATCCCAGATTTTCAACATCACCTATAAGCATAAGGCCTTTAAGAACATCCAGATACTAAACCCAAATAGATATTTATCTAATTTTCAACTTTTTTTTTAAGCATGATGTTCCTAACCAAATGCCCCTTAAATAACAGAGAAGTTCTTCAAGTATAAAATGATATGATAGTAAATGATATGAGAGTAAGATGATATGAGAATATCACATCTTATACATTAAGAAAGCTAATGATAGCTTGTTAAGGTTGACTGGCAGTTTCTTTTTATTCAGGAGGACAAAACAGGATTAGAATACTCAACCTGTAATGATAGGCCTTGATAATTACCGTGATAAACCTCAGAATTCCATACCCACTAGTGAGTCATCAAGCACACTCGGAGGTCCCACCTCCCTGCAGTCAGGAGTGGGCCAGCTCCCCAGTTGGGAGTGCAAGTTATATTCCAAAGGTAGGTGCAGCAGTGGAGTTGGTTAAGGACACGACTCAGGAGTGGGTAACTAATAACATGTGGATTTCTTCCATGGAAGTACAAGTAGTATAATTAGAAATTGTTTTTTTCCCCCCCAGTTATTTTTCAGTTGTAGTCATAATAAAGCCTTTGTATACAAAGGCCCTCACTCTTCATTTTTAAAAGAGGATTCATTTAGGAACTGTTATGTTAAAGAACATGTTATTGAACTGTTATGTCAAAGAACATGTCTCTGTTAGGTGTTGTCAAGCCAATTTCGACTCATAGTGACCCCCTGTGACAGAGTAGAACTGCCCCATAGGGATTTCTAGGCTGCAATCTTGATGGGAGCAGATGGCCAGGTCTTTGGGTTTGAACTGCCAACCTTTCAGTTTGCAGCCAAGTGCTTAACCGTTGTGCCACCAGGGCTCCTTATTAAAGAACACAACAAGGTAAAAAATGTGACAATGATGTAGGTCAGGGATTGGCAATTGTTTTCTGTAAAGGGCCAGATAGTAAATATTTTAGGCTTTGTGGGCCATACAAACTGTCACAACTACTGAACTCTACTGTGATAGCACCAAAGCAGCCACAGACTGTATATAAACCAATGAGCCAGGGTTCCAAAAAACTTTACAGAAACAGGCTTTGGGCCAAACTTCAGCGACCTAATAATCCAAAGGCATCTATGTGTTAGATTTCTGAATGCATTAAGGCTTTCCTGTCTTCAAATCACAACTTTACCTTTCTGATTGTTTGGTAGCTAATAATAATTTTTAAAAATGAATACTTACTTGGTTCTTGCTGTGCCAGACACCATTCTAAGTACATTTTTTATATTAACGCACTCTTACACCAGCCCCATGATGGTAGGATATGTACTCTTCTCAATTCTCTAATTTGTGTGACTTTACCAAACAGGTGGCTTCAATTAGGAGTGCAACCTCTAGCCATGGAGGAAACTTACTTTGTGTGCAGAAATGCACAATAGATTGATTCAGTCCACAATACATTGAAACCTCAAATGTGTTAGCCCTTACTCCAGCCATATTCCCTCCATGCCCCACCTCTTCTCCCCTGGTACCACCCTCTTCCCTCCCCAAGGCATGCCTGCTCCATCTCTAGGCAACACTGCTCACAGCCACACAAAGAAAACAGAAAGGAATCTTTTTATTTCAATCTCAAGAACAAAGTTAGTACAAATGACTCACCAGCTCCCTCCTGTGTTAAGTTCGCCTTTTACATTATAAAGATAATAAACCAAAAAACCAAACCCATTGCCATCAAGTCAATTCTGACTCATAGCGACCCTACAGGACAGAGTAGAACTGCCCCATAGGGTTTCCAAGGAGTGGTTGGTGGATTTGAACTGCCAACCTTTTGGTTAGCAGCTGAGCTCTTAACCACTGCACCATCAGGGCTCCATAAAGATAATGGAAAATTTCAGTGAGTAAGAATAACATGAATTATTATTACATCGTACTATAAACAGAGAGGATGAGAAAAGGACAACTTTCTCATTTTCATAGCCAAGGAAACTCAGGCCCAGGGAAATTAAATGACGGCACACAATCACACGGCAGAACAGAAACTCAGACCTGCTTGCATACCCAGAATTTTCTTCTGCTGCAGCTCATCAGTCCAGGCAAAGCTAAACTAGCACCATTTTAGAATCATTTGTCAAAATTCCTTGGTTGATAGTCTCCTTCCTTCCAGCTGTCCTTACACATCAGGAATGGAAACTAAACTGAGCATCTTTAATTTCTATTACTCCCTCTACCTTTTCCTGAAACCATGTTACAACAAATCCTGATGACAAGTTATTTTTGCTACATCCCATCAACAGGTCAACAAGAATTTTCCAGCAAACATAAATTTCATATTTAGAAAATGTTCTACATTATATCTCATTTTTTTAAAAAATGAGTAAGCAGTACAAATGTTTTTTTAGTGCAAAAACAGGTAAGTAAAACGTCTTGTGTTTATTTCATCAAATACTTAGGGTTATAACATGCCTGCGTGCATGCACATGTGTGGGTGTGCAAACACGTGCGCACATGCATACATGCTTCATTTTCACTATTTCTTTTTTTATAAAGGGTAGAGGTAATTAACAAGGGATTATTTAGACAGAGGACAGAAGTTTTGTTGGGAAGTCCTAACAGAAGTTATGCTGGGCTGCGATAGGAATGGGCTATAGTATTCAGGAGAGAGTAAATGTGAACAGATCTAACAAGCTAGTAAAAAGACCAGCTCAAATATTAAATAGGTCGGACATTACATACAAATGAATCAGCTACCATAAGGGAGTGAATCAGCTGCTAAGGATGTCTACAATAAAACAGAGAAATATTTACATTAAAAGAAAAAGTCAGTAGGTAAACACTGCTTTCAAGTCAGAAATTTCTAAAAATGCTTTTCCAAATATATCTAGTGCCACCTGCTGGATTTACACGTGAAAAAAGCTAACAAGGAAGAAAAATATTTTGTTAACCGTTACTGTGTTAAAGTATCCTTCCAAGTCCAATTTACAGTTTACTAGTTCATGCGGGGAGACCCTGGTGGTCTAGTGGTTTTAAGAGCTATGGCTGCTAACCAAAAGGTCGGCAGTTCAAATCCACCAGGTGCCCCTTGGAAAACCTATGGGGCAGTTCTACTCTGTCCTGTAGGGTCACTATGAGTAAGAATTGACTCAACAGCAAGGGGTTTGGTTTTCTTTGGTTTAGTCCAGGTGAGCTTTCCTTACAGTTTAGCTCTTTCCGTCTGTACCCTTTGACAGCAACTGCAAACTGATTTGTAACATCCTTCGTAACATTCAAATTCTTGCTTCACAGACAAACCCTGAGCTAGTAGATTCTCTAGCACACAATCTTTTGTGTGTTCTACACACATACTTTTCTCCTCTGACAATGGAAATGTATAATTCTGTATAAGCTCAACCCCATGACCTGTGCCTTGGGTCTTCCCACTCTCATGACCTTGCTCTGTCAGTTATTCCATTGGCCCTACTTCAGGCTCCTCATTGCTTCCATCTTCGCAATCTCTTTGGCCCTATTAGAAGCCACTCGTTAGCCTTTAAAGACACTCAAGCTTCTCCCACCTTAGTAAAACGCCAACAGAATCCTTTTCTCACCCTACATACCTCTGCAAGTACCACTCTCCCTCCCGTTACCTCCCCCTCGCCAAACTTTCTGAGAGCTGTTCACACTTACTCCTCATCTCCCACTCACGCTGTAACCATTTGCAACTAGCTTCACAGCCACCAATAATCTCCATGGAAATAAGTCCAACAGTCACTTATAGATCATTCAAACTCTTCTTCCCCTGGCAACCATGACGCTAAATTCTCCTCCCTCTAGTCTCCCTTGGGGGCTTCTCTTCCTAGGTCTGTCCTATAATGTTTCTCTTGGTTCTGCTTTACTCACCTCCTCCTCTCCCCGGGCTGCAGTAACTATTTCTAAACTGCAGACTCCCAAATCTTTCTCTCAACGCAAATGTCTATCTTGGGCTCCAAATCTACATTTTTGAAACATGTCTCTAGGCGTCTAAAATTCAAACTGTTTAAAACTTAACTCATTAAAACTTCCAACCTCCAGCGGGGACTGACTGGGAAGAGGCATGAGGAAATTTTTGGGAGTGATGTTGTATATTTTAATAGAAATTTGGGTTGCATAGGCATATGCATTTGTCAAAACTCAAGGAAGGTACACTTACAATTTATGTATTTCATTGTATATAAATTTTACCTCAAAAGAAAAACTATAAACAAATATTGAACTCTAGTTAATGGTATGAATGCTGAAATATTTAGGGGAAAGTACACTGATATCTACAATATACTTTGAAATTCTTCCCCCCAAAATGAGCTAGATTAAGAAACGGCTAGAAGGATGGCTAGATAGTAGCTATGTGATAAAGCAAGCAATGTAAAAAATATTAACAATAAAAGCTAGTTGGTGGGTTTTTGGGTATTCAAAGTAAAATTCATTAATAATGTGTATGTTTAAACTTTTCACAATAAAATGTTCAGACAAAAAACACTTCCCACCCCAAACTGCACATATGTTCTTCCCCCAAGATCCCTTGGCTCAACAGCATCCCTGCTACCCAGCAAGCTGTGCAGGGTAGGGATCTGGGCTTCATCCTGACTTCTGCTTTTCCACTCCCTAGAGCCAATGGATTATCAAAGAATCTGAAATGATAGAACGTGTGTCTTAATTCAGAGCTACATAATCTAGTCTGTGAAGTATTGAATGGATTTGTATTTCCCTGCAGTCTCTGGGTGGCACTCGACTATGAGCCAAAAGGTTGGTGGTTGGGACCCACCCACAGGCACCTTGGAAGATAGGCCTAGCTATTTATTCCCAAAAGGTCACAGCCTGGAAAACCCTATGGAGCAGTTCTACTCTGCAGGCATGGGGTCGCCATGAGTCAGAACTGATGCGACGGCAACCAAAACCACAGAAGCAAATGACTGGGGTCTGCCCTTCTTCCTTCTTTCTCTCCCCATCCCCACTCCTACCCCATCACTCTCACATGGAGGGACGCACGGTCTCCTAACTGGTCTCTTCAGGGCTGCCGCTCTCACAGCCGCTTTCCACCTCAGGCAGAATGATGTTCCTAAACCTCAAATTTTGATCATGTTTTTCCCCTGCTTAAAACCCTACGAGAGCAACCCACTGCCTTCAAGATAAAGTCCAAACTCTTTAAAAGGCCTTTTAATACCTGGCCCCGCTTCCGCTAACCTCACTTTCCTCCCTGATCACCCTCTTCATCGCCTCCTACCTCAGACTCTAAGCTCTAGATCAAAAACCAAACCCGTTGCCGTGGAGTTGATTCCGGCTCATAGCAACCCTATAGGACAGACTAGAACTGCCCCATAGAGTTTCCAAGGCTGTAATCTTTACATGAGGAGACTGTCACACCTTTCTCCTGTGGAGCAGCTGATGAGTTCAAATCACCAACCTTTCAATTAGCTGTGCACTTTAACCACTGCAACACTAGGGTTCCTTCTTCTCTAAGCTCTAATCAAAAAAAAAAAAAAAAACCAAACCCATTGCCATTGAGTCAATTTCAACTTTTAGTGACTCTATAAGACAGAGTAGAAACTGCCCCATAGGGTTTCCAAGGAGCAGCTGGTGGATTCGAACTGCCGACCTCTTGGTTAGCAGCTGAGCTCTTAACCACCACGCCACGAGGGCTCCTCTCTAAGCTCTAGCTATCCTGAAATACTTGCCATTATCTAAAAGTTTCATCTTCCTTTTTTTCACTGAAGGAGGGACAAAGGGAAGGAGGGCCCTCCAGGCCATTGTACAAGCTCTACCCTTTATCTGGAACACTTCATCCCTTTTACCCTCCCCTTTCTCCCGGCTAACCTACCTGGGTCACTATGAGTTGGAACTGACTCCACAGCAGTGGGTTTTTTTTAACCTAAACTGATAACTAAATAAGTTAGCTAGGGTGAAGTTACTTCTTCCATACCCATTGCTGTCAAGTTGATTCCCACTCATAGTGACCCTATAGGACAGAGTAGAATTGCACCATAGGGTTTCCAAGGCTGTAATCTTTATGGAAGTGGACTACCACATCTTTCTCCCACGGAGTTGCTGGTAGGTTCAAACTGCTGACTTTTCAGTTAGCAGCTGAGCACTTAACCACTGTGCCACCAGAGCTCCTTTTACTTCTTCCAATAGCCTCCTATAACCCTCCCCAGCCACACTCAAGACTTGGTATTCTACCAGTTTACACACACAGACCCTATGTTTTCTCCTATCATAGTATTGTATTGTACTTGTCTATTCACTTGTATTTTTCCCTACTAAACTAAAAGCTCTGAGTGGAGGATTTATGTTTTGTGGCCTATTATATTCCCAACACTGCACAGTGATTGGCACAGATAGGCATGCCGCAAATCACTGAATCAATTTATCAATTACTCACATAGGCTTTTATTCCTATGGGAAACCAAGTCTGTAATTCACAGACTTGTGAAATGGAAAAAGAAAATAAAGATTAAGTGATCTTACTTACTAGAAAGCCTCTCTCTTCAACGCTTGAATTCACTTGACACTTTATTTTTAAATAAATATGGCCTTCCAAAGGAGATAAAAAGGGTACCTGTGAAGAAAGAGGGTAAATTGTTTGCAAAACAGTTTCAAAGTGTGACTCTTCCAATAAAACGTATGTAAACCATTAATCGAGCATATACGCCTTGAAAACACAGCATTTTCTAAAGCTGGAATGTAGAAAAGGTGGCCAAAAAACCAGTGGCTCCTTAGCAACAGATGCTTTTGAAGGATAAATTCATTCAAGGTAGACTTTGGCAAAACCAAAGTCCTAAGTCCAAATTAAAGTGAGAGAGAAAACACAGATTTAAGAAGAGAATATATTTGTTTACCCATTCTCTATCAACAGGTGAAGCCCCTGTTGTATCCATGGAGATGTATCCACTCTCCATCAGTAGGAGAATATACCAACTGGTATATTCATACTATACAACATTACTCAAGAGCAGAATGGATAAACCAACTGGTATATTCATACAATATTCAGCAATAAAAAATGATGAATTACTAATACATACAAGAATTTGTATGAATCTCAGAAACATTATGTTGAGCAATAAAGCTAGCCTCAAAAGAGTACATATTCTCCCCGACTACTGTCCTGAGATACTCTTTTAACCTCAAACTGAAACTAACCCCTGAGGTCACCTTGTAGCTAAATAACAAACTGGCACAAAAAATAATGAGTATCACCCATTAAGTACTGTGCTCCTTTAAAAAATCACCTATATGAGACCAAACGGTGATTAATTACTTTAAAACAGAGATGAGAATGTATGGCGGCAGGAAAACTAGGTTAATGGAAACGGAACAACCAGAATGGAAATAATAAGAATGTCCTCATATTGGAAAGAATGTAAACAATGTCACTGAACAACTTACACAGAAATTGTTGGATAGAAACCTCAACCGCTGTGTAAACTTTCACCAAAAACACACACACAAAAAAAAGAGGAGTACATATTCTATGATTCCATTTAAATGAAGTTCAAAAACAGGCAAAACTAATCAATGGTGAGAGAAATCAGAAACAATGGTGCCTACAGGGGTTGGGAGTGATGGAAATGTTGTAGATCTTGACTGGGTGTTGGTTATACAGGTGTATACATTTGTCAAAATTCACTGAATTCTATATTTAAGGTAGAATTTCACTGAATACAATTGTTTTTTTTTTACAACTTTACTGAGTGTATAATAAACCGCACATATTTAAAGTATGTTGTTTGATGTTTTGACATATGTATAACCTGTAAAACCATGACCACTATCATAATAATGAACATTTCCATCACTCCCAAAAGTTTCCTCGGCCCCTTTGTAATCCTCTCTTCCTTCTTCCCCCTACACCTCCATTCCTAGGCAACCAGGGATTTGCTTTCTGTCTCTATAGATTACTTTTCACTGCACATTTTTACTGCAATTAAAAAAAAAAAAAGGAAAGGAAAGGACTCTAAATATGTGCGAAGGCATTCTTAGCAACATATGTGTGTGTGTGTGTGTGTGCGTGTGTGTGTGTGTGTGTGTGTGTTGTTGTTGTTGTTGTTATTAGTTGCCATCAAGGCAGATCCAATTCATGGCAACCTTATGTATCACAGAACAAAATGTTGCACAGTCCTGTGTCATCTTCATGATCATTGGTATGTTTGAGTCCGTTGTTGTGGTTATTATGTCTATATATACATACATACATATGCATACACATGTATAATCTTACCCTAAGACAACAAAACATTATCTGAACAATAATTATCTAGCAGGCTATATATAAACAAAAAATAAAGTGGTCCTAAAATGTGTATGGAGCCTTGCTGGCAGAGTGGTCAAGAGCTTGGCGGCTAACCAAAAAGTAGGCAGTTCAAATCCACCAGCTGCTCCTTGGAAAGCCTATAGGCAGTATTCTACTCTGTCCTTTAGGGCCACTATGAGTCGGAATTAACTCAACAGCAAAGGGTTTGGTTTTGGTATAATGTGTATAATATAGTGCTGTATGCACTTCATGATGACAGTTGTCATTGAATGTTTGTATCATTTTATTTCCAGACAAATTTCCAATATTAAGGACCCACACCCAACACAAGTCTGCAATAGAGAGAGGGGAGAAAGATGCTAGTGTAGGCCTAGCAGAGAAAGCCAATGCTGCAATCTGTGTATCTTAAGAAGAACTGTTTTATTTCAATATGAGGAAAGTCTGGAATGTCCTGATTCCAGACCAGATCCCATTACTGTCATGATGTGATGACTTTTCACTCCCAACCATGGCTGACATCCTTAGTTATAAGAAACATACACACAGAAAATACACCTAAATTTTCCCCACTAAACTTATCCCAATGTGCATGGTAAGAGATACACAGAAAGTAATTCCACTTTCAATTAGGATGTGAAAGGTCACAAAAGACCTCATTCCTATTGTAACAGCAAGAAAAGATACTGAAAAATCTTATTTTCTTTAAAGTCATCAAAGAGCAGTACAAGCAAAAATACTGAATGTACCAAATTCCAGTAAGGAATGTGCCCTTCCTCGATGAGCCAAACCAGGGGCCACTTTCTTCTCTGGGTGCATGGGCAGGCAGAGGAGCAAATGAACTTCGCAGGGACAAGGAGAAACTGCCTAAACCTTTAATGGTGGAAACTTTAACGGTAGGTAGGCATCTATCTGCCAACTCTATCCCTCAGGAATGTTGCCGAGTAAGTTGGAGTTCCTGAAGTTGAAAGCAGGTCTAGAAAGCAGAGAGAAAACTTAAAGACTTATAGTGTTAAAATCTCAACGTCCCCATGAAGGGTGGGGCCTGACCTCACTTTCAAGACATTCAAAACCAGAGTTGATACAAAACTAAAGGGAGAACCCAAGCCTATTTCAGCTTAACTTCTGATGATATTAAAGAGATCAGCCCCAATTCGTTTGAGAGACAAAAGAGCAAGTTATTACCTACTTCAGTCTGAACTACTCTTTTACATGTAATATCTGGCCAACAACAAAAAAATTACAATAATGTGCAGAAAAACAAGAAAATGTGACCTTTAAGTGAGAAGGAAAAAAAAGCAGTCAGTAGTAAATCCATAGATGATCTCATTAGCAGACAAAGTCATTTATAAATATGTTAAATAATTTGGGAGAAAATCTGGGCAAGAATATGGAGAATTTCAGCAAATAAATGGAATCTCTAAAAAAAGACATGCATGTCTAGAACTAAAAAAAAAAAAATAATCTGAATTAAAAAATTCATAGAAAGGGCTTAATAGCAGACTGGGCAATATCAGAAGAAAAGATGGGTGAACCTGAAGACTAGTAAATAGAAATGATTCTAAATGAAGACCAAAGAACAAAAAGAAAAGAAAAACGAGAGTCAAAGACAGTAGGAAAATAGCCGACAGTCTAACATACACTTAACTAGAGCCATAAAAGGAAGAGAGAACATAGCAGAGGAAATATTTGAAGAGATAATGGCTGAGAATTTGACAAAACTGATAAAACACATCAAGTACAGATCCAAAACGATCAATGAAACCCAGAAGAATAAATACAAAGAAAATCACACCCAGGCATTATCAGTCAATTGCTCACAATCAAAGAAAAATAAAATCTTAAAAGCAGAAAAGATAAAAATGATGGCTATCTAGCAGACTATGCCCAATGAAAACACCCTTCAGAAATGAAGGCAATAAAAAGACATTTCAGACAAACAGAAGCTAGAGAATCCATTGTGGCAGACCGTTATTACAAGAAATATTAATGGAAGTTCTTCCTGAAAAGGGAATTATCCCAGATGAAAGCCTGGATCTGCAGGAAGGAGTTAAGAATACCAGAAATGGTAAAAAAAATAAAAGATAATTCTTCTAAATATATTTCAAACTTCCTTTAAAAAATTGATTAAAGAAAAAATAACAACAGTGAATTGTGGAGTTCATAGCAAAGGTAAGAAGTAAAATATAATGGGGTAGATCATTAGTCATTAGGGAAATGCAAATCAAAACCACAATAAGATATCACTATAACCAACTAGGATGGCTATTATCAAAAACACAGGAAATAACAAGTGTTGATGAGGATGTGGGGAAATTGGAATCCTCATGCATTGTTGGTGGGAATGAATGGTGATGTAGAAAAGTTTGGTGGCTACTCAAAAAACAAAGAATTACTATATAAACCAGTGTGGTGAAATGAGTTCCTTTATGTGGCATTTTGCCTTGGTTATGTGCAAAAAACAAATTAGGAAAAAAAACAGCTTGGGAGATGTTTTCCCTAAACCCTGAGGAGTTGTTAGAGTTGCTCTTGCTACAGTTGCCCTAGTTCTTTGGAGAAACTTGTTACTTTTGCCAAGGGAAGAAGCCAGTCCCTGCAGGCAGAAACTGTCAGTTATTATGCAAATAGATGGAGTCACTTGCAGTCAGGGAGGGGATTGGTCACTTTAGTCCAACAAGGGGATTGGTCAGTTGTTAGTTATGACTTCTGTGAGATGCTGCAGCAAATTACCGAGCCCAACAGAGAGAGAAGAAAGCTGAGGGGAGAGAGAGTGGTCGAAGTCAGAGATGATGGAGTGGTAAAGCAATCTGGAGAAGTTGGAAATCTGGGACATGTTTAACCTCCACTTCATAGGAACCAGCTTTGTGCTGAAACATAATGAAATATTATGCTTACCCAACAATTCCAACCCACTCCAAAACCACTGCCATCGAGTCAGTTCCAACTCATAGCAACCCTATAGGACGAAGTATAACTGCTCTATAGGGTTTCCAAGGCTGTAAATCTTTACAGAAGCAAACTGTCACATCTTTCTCCCTTTTGGTTAGCGGCCGAGTGCTTTAACCACTGCACCACCAGGGCTCCTTCCAGCCATTCCACTCCTGGGTATACAACCAAAAGAACTGACAGCAGAGACTCTAACAGATTCTTGTACACCAATGTTCATTGTAGCACTATTCACAATAGTCAAAAAGTGGAAACAACCTACATGTCCATCAACAGAAGAACAGATAAACAAAATGTGGCGTATACATACAATGGAATATTATTCAGTCATAAAGAGAAATGAAGTACTGATAAATGTTCCA